TTTTTTTTTTTTTTTTTTAGCTTAAAAGACAGATTAAAGTTCCCTTCCCGGCAGCTTTTCCCAAGATCCCGCAGATCTATTCCAATTAGTGCCTTTCATTAGGCGGGAATTGGACTCCGGGGCTGGGCGTGCTGCAGAGCAAAGCCACGAGCTCGGCGCGGCCGCAGCATCGCTGGCTGCCTTGCGGCGAGGACTCGGGTGCCGAGAGAAACGTGCTCTGCAATTAACGCTGCAGCACCAGCCGAGGGATTGTTTCCACAGGAAGCAAACGCCAAGACACCAGATACCCTGTAAATGAACTTAGCATCCTGGTTCATCTCTAACTGTCACCGCCTCCACCTGCACAGCAAAGACCAAATGTCCCTGGAAGGAGCGAGCGGTGGGAAATTTATCTGGGGGCAGCGAGTCCCTTGTGGTCCCCACTGCCACTGTCCTGGCATCCCAGGCAGCCGTTGGGGGAAGGTCACGGCCCCATCCACCTGCACAGCAGAAGACATTAATGAAACATTAGGTGATGGTTCTGGCAGGCTCTCGTTTAACTTTGATGGGAAGCCTCAACCGCTCAGCGAGGGATGGCAGCCAGCAGCATCCTGCAGTTTATGCGCCCCCCAGATGACTGCAGCCGTGGCGAGCAGCCCTCCGTCCATCCATCCATCCATCCTCTCTCCCTCTGCCGGCAGGTATCCGGCGGGGGGGCCGGCGGCCCGGCTGCGCCCCCCCTCCCCCGCCTGTCCCACTGCCTGCTGGCCCACTACCAGAAGGGCACGCGGCCCGTGCGGGACTGGCGAACGACCACCAACGTGGCGATCGACCTCATGGTCTATGCCATCCTCAGTGTGGTGAGTCCTCCGCTCCCGCCCTGCAGGGGGTGGGGGCAGCTTCTGCATGTCCACAGCAAGGGGAGCAGTACCCGCTGTGCAGCGGCCTCCGGGCACGCTCTGCCCACCTGCCAGAGCACCAATACCCCCTCTGCTGACACCATGTCCTCTTCTTCCCGCAGGACGAGAAGAACCAGGTGCTGACCACCTATGTCTGGTACAGGCAGGTGAGCAGATGAGACCGTGCGCCCTCGCCACTGCCTCGCCGGGGCCGGGCACCCATGCGAACACAGGTTTTCCCCGCGGGTGAGGCGTGTAGCCCTGCAGGAGAGCAGCAAGGTCAGGTCCATCCCAGGGGACGACAATTCCTCTGTAGGGCATGAAAGACAAGTACAGCTTTCCCACTGCGTGCATCACACCGTTGGGCGGTGCAGTAGCTGGAGGACGAGCCTTTCCTCCCTCCCATGGGTGGCCATTGGCAGGGTTGGTTCCCATGGCAGGGTGCTAGCATGGGGTTTTGGGTGCTAGAGGGATGGAAGGGACCTTGCTGTCCGAGCCGCCTCTCCCTTGTCCCCCAGCACTGGACGGACGAGTTCCTCAGGTGGGACCCGGAGCGGTTCGACAACCTCACACAGATCTCCCTCCCCGTGGAGAGCATCTGGGTGCCCGACATCCTCATCAACGAGTTGTGAGTGAGCCGAACCCCTCGGACCCCCCTCGCCCACCGTGGGCACGCGCCGCCCCGCGCTTTGTATTCCCGGCACAGAGCTGGCAGCCTCCCCGCATCGGGCGAGCTGCAGATGGGGACCGGCTCGGCAGTTGGGCCATTTCCAATGCTGGCTAACCGCAACCATCGGTAATTACCCACGCCGTGCCGGGGGTGGGATCCAGATATCTGGAGAAAGGCTTTGTGAAGGCAGCACAATGCGAGGGCAGCTGCAGAGCTGCCGGCCCTTCCCGCGAAGCCAGCCAGCATCCTTCCCGCTCCGTAGGGATTTAAGGTGTTCCTGCAGGCTCCAGAGAGCCTCGGGGCAAGGACACAAACCCCCTGGGGCTGGGAGCGGGCAGCAGCTCGGGCAGTGCAGAGGTGATGCCAGGCCAGCATGGCTGCATGGGCACCGCCAAAAAAGCAGCGCGGGGCCGGGGGGCGGGGGGGAGAACCCCTGTCACCAGGGCAGTTCCCCTCCCAAATGCCGCTCAGCAGGAGGAACCCCCACCAAAGGTGCAGGTGCTCCCCAGCCCGTGTCTCTCTGTCCCTTGTACCCCCCAGCGTGGACGTCGGAAAGTCCCCCCACGTCCCTTACGTCTACGTTAGCCACCACGGGGAGGTGCAGAACCTCAAACCCATCCAGGTGATGACCGCCTGCAGCCTGGACATCTACAACTTCCCCTTCGACGTGCAGAACTGCTCGCTCACCTTCACCAGCTGGCTGCACCACAGTGAGTGCGCGGTCGCCCGCGGCCGGGGGGCTCGGGGGGAGCGGGCAGGGCCTCCGCCGGGCTGGAGCTCCGTGCAGAAAGCGACTCGTCCCTCTAGATGGCCCCAGCGGACCGGCGATGCGTGCGGGGCGGGCAGGCGCCCA